TAATGCACAAGGATAGCCAAGGAACTGATTTTCCTCCCCTTTACTCTTTGGTGTATGGAGAAGGCTTCCAACGTTCTCTTGCCTGGCTCTGTTGATAGAGGGGCTGTGTGGTGTTCTTGCTGGTCTGGCTTTCTTTTGCATTTTCTTGTTAGGACTTCTGGAATAGAGAGCTTTCCCCGGTTGTTCAGAGGAGGACAGAAACCAAACATTCTTTCAGAGCTATCCAAGGTGAAAGTGGTATGGAAGAACAAGAACCTCGGTGCTCAGCATGAATCTGTCCTGTCTCACATTGAAGCTTGCCATGGGAACTGAGTCTCCTATCATACTCCTGGTTTTCCAGTTGATGAAAGAGGAAGTGAATGAGGGGTGCTTCTGATGAGGTCTTAGAAGTCATCAAGACATCAAGGAAGATGTATCTCAACTTTTGGCTCAACATTCCTGATTATCTGGATGTTTAAAACATTGGACGTTTGAAAGATTACTTTATAAAGAAAATGGTGACAAGGGAAAATAAAACATTTTTTCCCCTAGAGATTCCCTAAGGGATGTGCACATGGCTCTGTTCCTCCAGGCTGGATTGCTCTGTGGTCAGTAGAGATAGCATGAGATGGAACGGCAGATGCAGTGCATCCAGATACTAGGAGGAGCTAGGACACTGGCATCATTTATCTGTATCTCACTTCCTCATTTTACCCTTCCATAATCACAATGAAAAACTAAGTACTCACATTTAAGTGCCGTCTTAGAACTTGGCCAAATTAGAGAAAATAAATTTCCCATCTAGGAACCAAGACATTAAATTGCTAATACCAGATGAGGCAAACTTTCATGGGCTTCTCTATTGGGTAAGTTGTTATGGATCCCTGACTGGCATTCTTCGGCACAGTTGCATTTCATGTGAATCAAGCTTTGATGTCTGTGCTACTCTACAAGTGTATTCAAACTGCTGTTCCTTGCGTAACTCTCTCAAGTCCCACTTTTTGAACCCTGTACTCTGGAGACACTGTTTTGCCTGTTAAGTTGAATAATCAAGATGGACTTTTCTGACTTTCTAGATTCACCTTATATGCTGTTTGATCTTTATTACTTGCAATAGGAAGCCATACTTTATTTTACCATTTAAAATGTAGCCATAGGAATAGATCATATTTTAGTCCTGATGTTAGTCTAGACTTCTCCACAGAGACAGTATTTTTTCTTCATGGGAACTCCTGCAAATTTTCACAGTTATATTTTTATGCATAATTTTAAAACCCCAAACTTTGAGTTAATGGCTATTCCAGTTATTTCTAGTAAGGAAGATAATGATTATAGTTATAAATTATAGGACTGAAAAAAAGTTCGTTTTAAGGTGAAACCTTGGATGTTATGTGAGTTCTAAAGTGACCTGTTTAAGACTTGGTCTTCAAACTGATGTGTCTAAATTTAGTATTATAGTAAACTAGCTATTCTAAAACATGGTTGGGGAATGGATATTTGAGTTAAACAAATCTTGGGCTCTAGAAAGGGCCATGTAGCACAAATGGCATAATTTTGTGTAGAAGAAAATAACATATACTTCGTTCTAAATCTATATTAAAAATAATTTAAACCTTTTATTTATAAAACTTTTATGGAATTTTGCAATGCTTAACAGTTATTAGGCACAATAATTACTATATTGAATTATAGGCAACGTGTGTGGAATATATATTGAAAGACTTGGGTATTGCTCTATTTAAATAGTTGGGTATTTGCACAAGGCAGTGATGTATAGTGAGAGCCCTTCTTCTTTCCTTCCTTCCCTCCCTTCCTCCTTCCCTCCCTCCTTCCTTCCTTCCTTCCTTCCTTCCTTCCTTCCTTCCTTCCTTCCTTCCTTCCTTCCTTCCTTCCTCCCTTCCTACCCGCATCTTCCTCCCTCCCTTTCTTCCTTCCTCTGTCCCTCTCCTCCCATACCTTATCCCACTTTTCCCTTCCCTCCCCTCCCTTACCCTCCCGTTCCCTTCCCTTTCTTTCCCTTGCCTTCCCTTTCCTTCTCTCCTCCATTCCTTTCAGAAATATCCACCAAATGCCCTCTCTGAGCCAAGCATTATGTTGTGGAGATACACAATTAAGACATGTAAGTCAATTACTATCTGCTTTGTCTCTTAAACCTAGAACATAAAAAGTTAATTCTTGATTCCTTCCTTTTTTTTTTTTTTTTTTTTTGCTCAGCTTTTATAGCCGTCAGAATGCTTGTTGACTCTACCTCCAAAATATATAACCTGGATCTGTTACACCAAATCAACTGCTGTACCTACCCACCTTAGGGCCATGCCATCATCACTTTCACCTCATCTATTACAATTGTCACCTAGCTGGTCTCCTGGCATACACGGTTACCTTCCTTATCATTTATCTTCTAGGAGCCACAGTGATGTTTAAAAAGATAAATCCTATCATGTTGTCTCCCCGCTGTTTGTAACCCTCTGGTAACTTCCAATGCTTTGTATTTCATGATGAGTTCCTAATTCTTTCCTTTGTCCTTACATGGTGTGACTCCTTCCTACCTCCCTGATCTCTTGCTGGTGACTCCCTCTCTCGCACACTACTCTCCAGTGATACTCATGCACTCTTTGATCTTCAGAAAGCTTGTGCCTGCCTCAGAGTCATTGCCCTTGATTTTTCCTCTGTCCAGAGTGATCTTTTCCTCATTGCTATGGCAGATTTCATTTCTTCATTCACGCCTTAGCTCAGATGCTAGCTTTCTATAGAGACCTCCCATCACTTGGCTCCCCTCTTCATCACTGTCTGTCACATTGCCTTACTTTATTACTCTCATGACACTACTGCTAACCAAAGTTACTTTATTAATTTATTTGTTTGCACAGTTATTATTTATGTTTCTCACTAGAATGCAGTCTGTATGACAGCTGGTCATTTTCTGTTTTGTTCATGACTGCATCCTTATTCATGACTGTATCCCCAATGCTGAGAACCAGAGTTTAGCATATTCAAGCAGCTGGTTTCTTATTTTTCTTTCATAAATTTGATGAAGGCTGATGGCTTCTGTTTAAAAACTTATATTAGTACTTTTACAAAATTTAAGTCTAATATAACAAGGATGTATCAGTCTGCTTGGGCTGCCATAACAAAATGTCACAGACTGGGAGGCTAGAAGTTCAATGTCAAGGTGCTGTTAGGGTTGATTCTTCATGAGGCATCTCTTTCTGGCTTGTAGACAATTGCCTTCTCCCTTTGTTTTCATGTGACTTCTCTTCTCTGTGCATACTCAGGATTGCGGGGGCGGGCGGGTTGGGGGGGGGGGGAGAGAGAGAGAGAGAGAGAGAGAGAGATGGATCTATCTCATATCTCTTTCTCTTCTTACAAGAACACTAATCCTATGGGATTGGGGCCCCTTCCTTATGACCTTCTTTAACCTCAGTTACCTCCTAAAGGTCCTGTCTCCAAACACAATCACATTGGGGGTTAGGACTTCAAAATATAAATTGGGAGATGAGGACACAATTCAGTGCGTAACAAAGGGTGAGGAGAAAAGTCCTTTTATTTTGGTTGTCTAAACTGTAATGAATACGTGCAATTCTACACAGGAACAATCTGAGAATTTGGCATGTATATTTGGGCCAAAGTATCGCTTGACTTGTAGTTAGTATGTCTCAGTGCATGTTATGGCACAAATTGTATATTTTAATGGGATATTTTAGTAAGCTTCTCCTTGATATGCACAGTGGGGCATAAACACGCTGATAATTTAAATTGTGATTTATTTATTTATTTGTTGCAGAAGGGTTTGGCTAGGTAGCATGCTGAATTGTATGGAGCTCTTCTTCTCAGGAGTCTGCCTTCGAAAACTCCTTGAAGCTTTATGCTTTCAATGAGCATTAATATTATGATGTGTAAAACTTTACCATGGGCCAAGCTTAATTCTATAAAGGCCAGATAGAAGGCTTCAAAGAAAGATAAAGAAGCAAATTATGAAAAAACTCTTTTTCTTTTCCTCTTTCTTTCTTCTCACCATGTTTTCTCTTTCTCCTCATGCTTTCTTCTTTAGAAGGAGATCCTGGGTGAGAGATGATTTCCTTAATTCACTTTATTGCCTATTTCCCTAGGCATGAATATTTAGGAGGTACCTAAGGATGGTTTCTAGGCAGTGACAGAAATGGAAATTATCTACCCTGGGAACTCTGCATGTATCCTTGTTAACTCATTCTCATACTGTTAAATGAATAACATATTGGTGGGACCGGAAGACTTGGAAGCTCTTCATCATCCACATTCCATTTTTATACTCTGTTTTTAGGGTGACAATCTTGTTTGTTTACCTAAGTTGCAAGATACCCCATATCTTATACAAATGGGAAAATTAATTGGGCAGATTCATGCGTGAATTAAGTTGTTGCCTTGTTTTGTATCCTTTCCGGAATCTCAGGTTAAATAAATGGGCCTGCATGGATAATTAGGAGTTTTCGGTGGCTGAAATTTAAATTTCTTATTGAATGACTCAGTTTTCAGTGGCTACATCATTCAATAATAAATTTAAAACGTTACATAAATATGGTGTGATTATTATGTGAACATCATAAAACCCAGTACATTTTTAGAGTAAGTGAAATTCAGATAAAATTGGAGGGGGTTGCTTAACCACTGAGAAATTGCTAGAGCATTGATTGTAGATTAGAAATTTTGAAAACCTTCACATAGATTGTGATAAACTGGCTGCTCTCCTGTAAATGAGATAATGTGGGGCAAACACTTGATCTTATTTTCAAATCTGACCTGAGAAGCTATACAAATATTGAGGTGTATAGAGAAATTATCATATGCATATCTAGAGGCATATAACTAAATTTGGTACTGAAAGTGATTTGGCTGGGATGTGGTGAAAATCTTCATCAGGTTTGAATTTTCTTAGGAACTTGAAGAAAGAGAAACCTCATGTTTTATGAGATCTAATCTATTTATTTGGGATGCATCTGAATGAATGAGCATCTTATTTAACTGGGCAATCCTGTGTGTTCCAGCTGCAGATGAAGAGATTGCTTCGCTTCAAACTGCCTGACTGCCATGGAACCATCTGGCACATGCACGTGTGTGGGGAGGTGAGACACCAGCTAACACTAAAGTCTTCAGCTGGTGTAAGTTGTTTCTTATTTACCACTTCATACCACATCTGGGTACAGAGGCAGAATTAAAACTCATCTTGAGTCCCTTCCACCCACCTTAAAGCTCATTCTTTTCTACTTTTTAACTTACAGGAAGCTACCCATTCTTAGATAAAATAGTTGGAATAAAAAAAATTAGCAATTACAGTTGAGGAAATCTAAAGATTTTATTTCGTTTCATTCACACTTAGAGGTTTATCCCCAATTATTGCTTTTAATCAAGGGGAAAAAGTTTCGCATATGTTTTTCCCCTATGTGCTACTTTGAGCAGTATTCATATGTTATGTGAAATGATTATGCTAAATGTATGTGAGAACTTGAGTCTTGGTGTGGATATATATTGAGTCTATGGGACCCAAAAGAGAACAACAGGATGAAGGTAGGAAAGTCAAGGGATTGTGAAAAAATGAAGAACTAGTAAGTGATGGGTAAGTGGGGACTTGAATGAGAAATTGGGTGGTTTGAACAGATTGTGTATATGTTTTCCTCTCTGAGACCCATAAGATTTCTTGTACATTGCATGGGGAAAAATAATCTTTGCCTTCTTTTTCGTCTCTTAACTATGTGCTTTCATCATTGCTGTACATTCTTTTAAGCTTAGCTCAGAAAAGAAGGGGTAATATAATACAGAAGCTCAATTGAAAACTGGCTTTAGATCTCTCCCTAGCCAGGTGAGACACAAAGGAGGTCATTAGTAACACATGTTTTCTTGTTAAACTGGATGTATTACTACAGTTGAAAAGAGTGGTTTAATGCCTAGCACATCATTTTTCCTCGTTTTTATAAATCATTCCACAAAGAGAAACAGCATCTTTAAGAACCGAAGACTGTCTGGACATGTGTCTTATGGTGTAAAATGCAGACAAGCATGGCCCAGGGGCTTCCTCTGTCTGGTTGCTCTTCACCGAAGTGCTGGAAGTGCCTGATTCAATTAGTAATCAGAGATGTCGTCATTGCTATTTTTTGACTTTAAGAGACTTGATGGTGAATTAGATTCACAGATTGCAAATTTATTTCTAAATATGGCCCTTTGTATTTGAGGACCTCAAGAGTCTTACGGTCTGTGATAACATCTAGTTTCCTCCATACATCAGACATCGTTGTATTCATCAAGATTTTGGTCAACAGATCCAGGCAAAATCCATGTGTGTGAGTAATGAATTTGCCAAGATTTTGTTTGTGAGAATAATTTTGTTAGCTATCCTCCTCCTGTCCTACCCCAGCTGAGATATCTAATGACTAACACACATAATTCCAAAATGGGAACATCTCAGGTTTTAATGTCTGAAGCTAATTAGTCCACAAAAGTTGAGCCTGCCTTACTGATGACACTGTGCTGTATGTGATGGGGCAACCAAAAAGATACGGTATGGTACTAGTCCTGAAGGAATTTTCAGTGTTTGGGAAGTCAAGCTGTATACAGATTTAAAACATAACTAATTTTGAAAGTTGTGTTACTAAAGTGCCAAGTACATGCTACGTATTAAGTAGTTTTTTTAAGGAAGGCTTTTTTTTCTGCACTGCAGAGTTTAGAATGAACTTATCTTAAGGTGGATCTAAGTGCTTTTACCATGTAGTTTGAGAGCCATTCTATCTATGAACTGGTACATAAACCATTCTATCTATAAACCAGACAACTATGGAAGGTTGTTAAAAGCAAATGCGATATTTTAGATGGACACTGCTGAAAGTTAAAGAGTTATTAAAGACACCATAAGAAGAGTGGATATTTAAGTCTTCCTGTCTAAAAAGACCCAAGTAACAAACATCTAGGTATTTCCACACTCATGGCATCATTGCCATATGGTCTCATCACATGATTTATATTCATAAACACATCAGAAGTTGGGGAAAAGCTGGCAGTTTAACCCTTTATTAAAGTCACTGATTTTGTTCTATCGCATAAGAGAACTTTGCCCATCAGAAAAACAGTTAAGACAGGTTTTGCCTATTTCTCTCCTCCCAGAAAATTTAGTACATAATTCCCATGCTTAAAAAATGCATCAACGAGAGAAACACCAGCTTGCTGACACCCTCATAATGGAGTATGGCCAATGCAATTGTTGATCTCTTACAGCTTTTTGAAGCAGTTAAGCTCTGAATAGGTCCACCCTTCTGTTATTTAGCCAGCAATCTGCTCCCTTCCAATGAATGAAATAAAAGCTGAGAGGCAGGATTTCATTTCTGTTCAAATTAGAAACCTGTCTCTTTAGGACCTGAGTCCTTTCCTTCTCCATTAAATCTTCTACTACCAAGGAGAGAGAGAGAAAAAAAAGATTTTGGATATGCAGCATAATGATCATTCCATCAGCTAGCAACTTCACTTTGTGAGGGTTTTTTTTTTCTTCTTTAATTGAGTACGAGGAGATCCAAAATGTGAATGCTATAAGCAAATCCATTATTCTTAGTACTGCTACCTATAATTAACACCGCCCAATGGAATTTAAAAAATATTTATAAAAAAGGCAACAGAGTAACAATTACCATTATCCCCAACTAAACTCCTCCTCCTGTATGTTTTCATCAAGAGAGTGGTGTTGTTACTTCAACAGGCACAGTGTTGTGGTGACTTTTGTGATACAAATAAAGCAAGACTAAAATTTTAATTGTGAAATTTAAAAGGAAAGTAATTGCTTAGTGTTGGCTAATTCCATCTTTGTGCGATGACAGCAGCTGCGTTTCCCTGCCTTGTGTATTTTAACAGATGGCATTATTTCTTATGGAGTGTTACAGTAGCGACCGAGGTGACACTGAAGGAAAATTCTGTGACAGTATGTTAAGTAAGATATTACTGACAGCCCTGCTGAGCGGCGATGCAGAACTGCATGTCGTGGATCTATTCTCACCTCTTCAGCCCCCACCAAATGGTCTCCATTTGTGGCATGTGCAAGCAGAATGGAAACATGAATGGAAAATCATGTTCTTTTTTTTGAATTCACTTGTTTGCATTCCATTAATAGGGCTGGGATGGAGGCTCAAATCTGGTATAAAAGATACATTTATCAATCCTGTATCATACTGTTGTACCTTTCTACCAGAGGTAGGAAAATGGAGAGGCAACAATAGGCCTGAGTTCTAGGCCAAGATCTGCCACAAGTCACCTTTCTCCAGGATTGGTTTCCTTTGCATAAAGTGCTGGGATTGGACTATGGCAGCACAGTCCCTAGGGCCCTTTTCAGCTCCAACTTTCTGTGATGCTGAAAGTCCTGTGCTTTGTATTTTAATGGCACAGAAGACAAAGCAAAATGCAGGATGGAAACTAGATTTTGCAGCATAGAGAAAAGATCATTGAGTCACAGGTCAGGATCTCTGGTCATGGTTCAGCCACGAAACAAGTCCCTGAGCCACTCGGTGTCGGCTTCTCCACTTCCTTCACAAGGCTGCAGTCAAGAGCTTATGGGATGCTGCTGCTGAAAGATGCTCATGAATCCAAGAAACATTGCACAGCTGACCTGTGCTAGACACTGTGCCAAGGACTGGGGATTCAAGGGTGGGTAAAGCGGGGTTCTTATTTTGGAGGAGGATATCTAATGAAGGAGACAGGTATGTACATGCGTAATTACAGTAAGTGTATTAGAGGCTTTGATGGGCACAAATACAGGGTGATAGAAAAGGAGGTGCAGCTCACCTGGTAGGAGCCATAGAAGGCTTCCAGAAAGAAATGGGTTCTAATTTAAGGCAAAGCATAAGAGGCAGGAAGAACATGTGCCAGAAGCTTCTTGAGTCAGGGTTCAGAAATCATTATGGTTTGCTTTTCCTTTGCCACTGGTCTTAAAAACAGGAGCCTGCCAGCATCTTGGGTCTTGAAGATCAAGGAGTGCTGTTATTTAGATATTCTGCCTCATTTCGAAAACAATTGGGTTTGAATGTCTGAGGAATGATATTTAAGGGAATATCACCTATGACTTGCAGACTCTAAATGTGAACTTGAAACATCCTCTCCAGATCTTCCTCTTCACAAATGCTTGTGTGAGGCCCCAAGAGTAGTGGAGTGTGCCTTGAAGGCAGGTAGGATGGAGTGACTTTGACTGGTAGATGGAGAAATGACGGTGGCTTTATATACTATGAAGTTTTGGCTTTTTAAAACAATCTTTTCTGAGACAAGGGCTACCAACTTGCTGCTTAGTGACAGATAAACCTGACTCATATCCTCTCCCTATAGGCTGCTCCTCCTCCATACTAACGTTTGACTTTCTACAGTTTAATTAAGATCACCCTCTAAGCAGCATACGTGTAAGAGAATGATGGATTTTCTTCCTGCAATGTGATAGGAATGGCAATTCAACAAGTCCGCCACTGTCTGAGCCACTTTCTGTGGAGCCACGTGAAGACGTAAGAGTGACATCCTTGGTGAGAACGTGGTCAAGTGGGTGATATGATTTGGACATTTGCCCCTTCTAAACCTCATGTTGAAATGTGATCCCAGTGTTGGAGGTGGGGCCTGGTGGGAGGTGTTTGGATCGTGGAGGTGAATCTCTCATGAATGCCTTGGTGCTGTCCTTGCAGTAATGAGTGAATTTTCACTCTATTACTTCACGTAAGATCTGGCTGTTTAAAAGGGCCTGGTGCCTCCTCCTCTCCTTGCTCCCTCTCTTGCCATGTGGCACTGCTGCTCCCCCTTTGCCTTCTACCATGATTGTAAACTTCTTGAGGTCTCACCAGAGGCTGAGCAGGTGTTGGTGCCATGCTTGTACAGCCTGCAGAACTACGAGCCAAATGAATCTCTCTTCTTTATAAATTACCCAGATTTTTTGGGGAGGAGTAAAAACTCACTGTGGGATAATTCTACACCAACTCACTATACCACATAACTACTAATCATGAGGTGAAATCAAAAGGAGCACCATGACTGCGCTACAGCATCTCTAGAAGACGTGACTGTGGTAGATTAAAAATGGCTACAAGTTCTTTATTGCAGTTGTCATCAAGAGCTGATGTGTATTTCCCTGTTCAGTGAATCTGAGCTGGCTCTG